AAAATGACATTCATTAACGTGTCCAATGCACATCAATTGATGTTATCTGATATCAGTAGGCAATGAACTATGTAGTGGGAATATTATATAACTCTGACCATATGAAAAATAGACTAAGATGACATTATATCGATTCACAATAGCATACCCAATGTCTGGTATGGTCATCCACTTGTTTGCATTAGCCTATAAGGAATGAAACAAATTGTTATGAAAAGAAATACGTAACAAATAATAAGTAATGTGTCAATTAAAGCAACGCGAACCTGTGATCAATTGTGGATCACCAAAGACTATTGTAGTTCTTCCAATCAATTGTAACTTCTTACTAGTCTTGCGTATTCATCATGCCACAAAGTAAGTTCTTCATATAGGTCATGTTAGATAATGAGTCATGCTTCTTCACCTAGGCCCCAACAAAGCACCAATGCATCGATAACCACAATAATCATCTGCTACCACATTAATAACATCAACAATGTAAGGATGACAAATGGGATGAGACTGATCTAACATCGATACTCTCCTTTGTTGAACTGCTTTAGCCTGGAATTTCACTTGTGTTTTTTGTGATGAAGACTTTGTCATGGAATGCAAGGTATTTACGTACTTAAAATATGATGGGTTATGCTTCGTAGACCTTTCATTTCACTGAAGTTTACTCTTCTGTTAAGCTTTGGTCTTGACTTAATGCGAAGGAGGTACCATAAATGTCATTGTAAGACAAACAACTTCAACTAACTTTTGTTTGATGTTAACGTTTTGTCCAATGTTAATCTTCTTACAGCGTTGATGAACCATATCAAGTTCACATTCAATGCATAACTCTGGTTGCGATTGTTTTCCCCACGACTTAAGCAATGCCAAAAATCTTCCAACAAGTATATTGGGTTGATGTAGTAAACAGGTATTGTATCCAGAAGGATTTGGTGGAAATAACAGTGTTATGATCAATTTAATCTGATATGGGAATGCTTTTATGTAAAAAGTGTGAAAGTGGAAAGTGAGAGTGTTGTCCCTTGAATCTAGAAATCAGTTTATGTTATCAAAGGAATGATTTTAGTATTAAACTCGTGTTGGAGTCTGATTTTACAGATCCATCCTGTCATGCATTAGATCTTCCATCAAGTTGGCAGCTTCACGTGATCAAGTTTTGGGAGTGCTCTTTATGGTACTTCAAGCCCATCTCAGGACTCGGAGACTAGTATGTTTCCTACTGTCTAGTATGCAACCTAGTATTGACCATGTATGACTCATTTGCATTACAAATAAAACATTATTCTAGCTACACATCTTTGGCCTATTTCATCTAGAAACACACAGGAAAATTGATTGGACCACAACTCAAGGCTAGATGCCTCTACGCTTCAAGCCAGTTAAATAGGATAAGTAATCAGTTATCCCAAAATCAAGCACAAATCAATTAATCACTTTAAATCAAATGAAAACTACATAAATGAAGATAAAAATAATTACAAACAAAGATGAAAGCATATCCTAATCCTTCAAAGATGTATCTTTGAAGTACAAGGATTATGTGAGAGACTCACTATAGTCTATATCTAAAATCACCCTAAGAGGGCTAAGACTGAAGTCTAGTTCTCTTTTGGATCTCTCAAACTCCTTTCTTTCCATCCCTTTCAAAATTTGTCTAAGGTGTTTGTATATATAGACTTTTCGTAGCACGACTCAAGCGGTAACTCACGACTCTAGTGTCGAGCTTTCCTCCCTTGGTGAGTTTTCTCTATGGCTCAGGCTATGAAGATCTGGGCTCGAGCTACGTGAGGTTGCTTAATAATGAAGCACTCTCCCTTGGCTTAAGCCTTAGTTGATGACTTAAGGAAACATTCCTTTGTGGGTTTTCTTCTATGGTTAAGGCTCTCAAGTGGCACTTAAGCAATGACAAGACAAATTCTTCCAAAATAAATGTAAATCTTCTTCTTTTCATCCAAATACAGATTCAACTCCTTAAATTCATGTGTTTATGCAAAACAAGTAAAATTGTAGTTATCATAGTTTTTATACATAATCAAAATAAAATAAGTGTTAATTAAGCATTAAAATTCACTAATATCAAGCACTTATCAGCAATTCATTTGACACAATAGTTGAAAAGCTCAATCTGGTCCGCATGACATGAATTTCAACTAGAGGAATGATATCGGGCTCATATTTTGATAATTCACAAGCATAGGGTAGACCGTACGTTGATCTTAGAATGCATCGACAACGTCCACAGTCCAATCCTATATGCTTCACTCATTCAAATTCGTCAACAATGAGTCCCAAAGCATATCTCCAAATGCGTCCAACCAGTCTTTTATATGTGCTTCCTTTATAAGACTTTTTTCAAACAACGTCTTTATCTTATTATGTTGGAGGATGATAACATTATGGATAACATCCCAACACGAACATAGGTCTCTCATACTAGTCCACAATACTTTTTTCAGGCTCTAGTGCACAAACTGAATCCTGATACAAATAACATTAATAATGTCATAACACATAGAACATACATAAGTAAAAAAAAAACAATAATAATTACCTATTTGTTGTTGTATTGCCTATATGCATAACTTTGTTTGTCCATGCCTTAATGAAGTATGCCTTACACAAAATAATCCAAGTGTGATTGACATATTCAAATAATAAATGCCACGAAGTAGAAACATACTGAAGGCAATCAACATAATCACTAAATATGGACTCTTGTTCATAGTCCATCACATTTTCCTATGCTTCCATCAACACATCTCATGCCTCACAGAATCCACTAACATTTTGCGTTTGAATTTCACATTTTTCATAATGTGGCACCGACATAACATCTAATAAGACTTAGGGAATACATTGTCAATGACATTCATCAAAGCAATGTCTTTGTTAGTAAACAATCATATGTGAACCGTCCTTAAATATCATAAATAAACTTCTAAACATTTTTAATGCCCAAGTGAAATTATTTTAGCGTTCACTTGATAACAAGGCGCAAAGGCGGTTAAGAAGGTAAACCCTGTAGATGTGACGCCAACTATCTCAAGCAAGGGGAATTGATATTTTTTTGTCTTGTACGTGGTATCCATCAAAAAAATGATATTAAATACATTCAACAAATGCACTGAGATCACTTACCACCTTAGATTTATCGACAAAGCTACTTCATTGGATGTATTTATCTCGATCCAGCATCATTATCAGCTGCTGCATTTCAGTTCTCGACCCTCTTAAAGATCGTTTGTATGTATACTTTGCATTATAGATTAGTTTTATTGTTGTCATCTTAGAATCATTATGTTCTTTGAGAGGTAAAATATTTGAACACTTTACTTGACTCTTAGTGATGTCAACCAGTAATATGATTGTTCAACAAAATTTAACCTGTCAGCAAAAGGATGACCAACTAAAGTCTCAACCAATTCATAGTTGTGATATTTGCAAATTACCTTTAACACTCAACACTCTCCATTAGAATAGGGTTTGCCCCTTAACTTAAAGGGACACTCATATTTTCTTGTGTCGAATACACTCAGTTGAACATTAGGTTTGTACTTCTTATACTTCTCACTCATTTCACAACCTAACAACACAAACGTCTCTCTTTCGGTTCACCAGTTGATGTGTCAGATCTTATAATAACCACAACAAATCCAAGATCAAATACAATTTCTCGAACCCATTCAATTAGCTCATCGCTTGAGGGAATTATTTTATTCGATATAAAATTATTTGTGTAATCATCCTTTACGACTTCATTGATAAAAGAAGAAAATTCAAACACAAAACTCGATGAGTCCATCAAACTCAAATGGATAATTATTTATCTTAAGAGTTTAACTAATTTTGAAAACCATTAATTCTTTAACCGACTTTTAAAAATTGACTAGTTCTTAACAAGATTTTGAAAACCAATTAATTGTTTAAGAGATTTCGAAAACTGTTAAAAATTTAATCAACTTTTAAAGACGATTAAAGTTTTAACAGTTATCGAAATTCATTAAACTCTTAATTGACTTTTGAAATCCAATTAAGAATTCACCAACTTTCAAAAACCGATTAAAAATTTAACAGTTTTGAAATCCAATAAAACCTTAACCAACTTTCAAAATTTAGTTAAGAATTCATCGACTTTCGAAAACCAATTAAAGATTTAAAAATTTCGAAAACCAACTAATGACTTTTAAAATTCGTAAAGGTTTGAATTATGCATCATACACAACACTACATAAGCCACAACTGAGACTGTCACGAGAACAACACCACGAAGGAGCAAGACTACCCTCCAATCAACAAACCGGACCACCAAAGCAACAAGAAGAATAACGTGAAAGAGTGAAGAAGAATGAAAAAATGACAGAGAATGTGGGTAAATATAAAAACTTCAAAAACTTCATTTATTTCAGTCGGTGAAAATTTATTACATTAAGTAACATTTAATTACAACGCTACGTTTTTATTTTATTTTATTTTATTCAAAGGGCAAAAGGGTCTTTTGGAAGGTGCATGAAGAAGAGAGGGAGGTGCAGGGGGGAAAAGCATTCTTTTCCTATAATGGTAATAAAAAATCTTAGGGACATACCTTTAAAACGGTACATAGTAACCGTTTTCTCTTTCCTTCACAAGCATAAACAAATTTAAGACTTTCTCTATGGTATATTTGTTCCACTTTCCATAGAGTTGATAAAGCAAATTAATCTCGGTATAGATAAAATCTCCACAAAATTGAAAACAAAATTAAGTTTCACGAAGTGATATCCAGGTACAAAATGCAAATATTACAAACATTCCTCTTTTTTCGTTCACCCCGTCAATTTGACAAAGGATGGAATTTACAAATGTATAATGTAGCAACTCTGGTTCAGTACGACACATACTGATGTTTATCATCAAACCATAGGTTTTACTAGAACTAAAATGCCACAACAGAGTGATTTAATAAAATTCTAAGTTTTACATATTTCAAAATTTAACTTCGAAGTACTTGATTTAGAGGTACTAGATCAACAACAAACGTACATTAAGGCACATTTTTTGTATGGAAATCGAAAAACTTAGATACCTTCAGAGGATCACCCAAATTGCCATGGCTACATTTATTGTATGTCTTGGTTTTCTTTTTTTGGTTGGTACTATAATCATACGTTCATCAAAAGGTAAAAAAGAAAACCATAGTGCACGCCAATTCCTATTCACAACTACGGACTATCGGATGACTCAAGCAATATGAACCAAAATGCAATCTAGGACAAAATAGTTACCATTTCAAACCCATGGCTAAATCTAGCAGAGCTTCAACTTGGCGTATTGTTTGTTGCTTCTCCTGTTGTTTCAGTCTATTTGCAACAGATTCAAGATCAAACCCTGATTCATTTTGTACTTCACTCTTTTCAGAACGAACCTCTCGCAGCAATTCATCCACCTCCCTTACGAAGTCCACCCTCAAAAGAGTCTCATCATCTTCAAGGGATGGTCTCAATGGCTCGTGATGCTAATTCCACATATGATTTAAAACAAAAATGTCAGGGGATTCAAACAGAGGTGGTTTTCAACATATTTTAGGGCATAATCTAACCTTTTCTCACTTTTAGTTTTAACCAAACTTATGTATAAATAAATAAACTTGAATCAATCTAAAAACTATCAATGTTTAAACAAATAAGCTTGGATTTAATCAATATATAACAATGGCTAGTTTCAATTGTTATTTAGAATTATTTGTGTTAATAATTTATCAATCAAATAAACTACCTAATTTAATATGGTGAAGTGGACTAACATTTGGTTGTTCCATTAAAGATTCAGTAGACCACTGAGTGGTATCGATACTTCCAACTGCATCTTAGAACCCACTCAATCATATAGTTATATTGGAATTGCAGCTTCAGTTATTTTCGCGAGAGGGAGGGAAAAACTCAAATCAAAGGAGTAACAACGTATCACTTGACTAAGGTGTAAGGCATGTAATCTAAAGGTGCACCTTACCTTATCTATGTCGAATGACTCCAATCCTGGTGGAACAAGAATACTAAATGGATCCTCGTGAGGAAATGCATCAATCATGACCTTCTTACATTTCTTTAGCCACACTTCAAAATCATGGCCGTCATACATAATCAAAAGATCATTAAGCAATCTCATCGCAGGAGTAGCCTCTCGTTTCAAGATCTCAGTCTACAATTAAGAACAAAAAATTACAAAAAAGAAAGTAAAAACTCTGAAACAATTATGAAGTTAAACCGTTGCAGACCTAATTTGCTGAAATTGTTCTAATGAAAATGTCAGGAACACAGTATCTAACACTTTCTTTTTGGTTGAAAATTATTAAAAATCACAAAATTCCATGGGGTTCTACATCTTAATTAACTTCTAATAATTCTATAGTTTTCTATAAGTTTTAACAAATTGAACAGTGTTTTAGAAAGGTGTTCCCAACGCTCCTCTTGTCTATAAAAGCGAATAGAAAAGTTTAGTTGAATCTACTATGGGAAAGGAAAAGGTCTAAAATACCCAAGGTATTTTAAAAAAAGGAATACAAAACTTAATTATATACACGTTAGCACTAAATTAAAAAAAATTCAAATGCTGTGGATGGAAAAAAATGTGGTTGGGAAGGTAGACCCCTCCTACTAAAGTTAGTAGATATGTTCCACAATGGAAATTTTGTTTTCAACAAAGGTGGTGGATATTCCGTACCAATAGTTAGAAGATCAAAAAGGATTCAAACCCATGGTCAATCCAACTCACCATGAGTTGGATTGGATTGAAAAAAATAAGTTTTTAATATAAGCCAAAATGAATCTAATGTACTTAACTCATGAGTTAAACAAGTTCACATTAAGTTGAAGATGAGTTGACTTGTAACCCATTTCTATATGAATTATGAATATTGTGGCTCAACTCAACAACATTTTTGAACTACAATAAATACGAGGGTCAAGCCAACCCCATGGCAAATTGCTCTTGAATGTATTGCAATAAATAGGTGACTCAAGCCAATCTACTTTGATTGAACAGCAATAAATATATGAAATAAGTTGGGGAACAAGACACGATGATAAAGCTAGGTTGTAAAATTTTTTGCTTATTATGAAATGAGTAGGCTTGAGTTGACCAATTTTTAACTCAACCTATGCTCGAGTTGACTCACTTTAGTACCCCTAAGCACAATCATAATTCAACAAAACTTATCCAAGTATGGAGTATTGATATAGCATTAAATTCAACAATGATTATCCAAGCCTGAATTACTGATACTTTAATTTGTCTCATATTTATATGTCTATATTCAATACATATCCAATATTAATAGCCATTTGTATTTGTGAAGTATCTTAGACTTTAAAACAATTTATGAAAAAAATGAGAATAAAAGTATGTATGGTATAAAAATGCACTGTTCCTTGATAAACCAAAAGTCGAAATTTGTCTTCTTTATTATGATTTGAGGAATGGGATGAGTATTATATCGTTCCTATTTGTAGACAATAAAAAGTGATGTATGATAACAATGATTTATAAGTTTTATTTTATTTTAAGTAAGCCTAATAAGTATGTTCGTAATTTGGATTTACAAAATTACAATTATATATTTATTACGTTTTATGAATTTTGATAAATATCTAGATATGAATCTTATAGGTATAGTATCCCATGTTCCTTTAGAAAAATTGCATCATTGTATTGCGTATGTATTGTATTGGATACTCGGATCATATTTCTGCATCATAGGGAACTACATTAGTTATTAAAATAACTTACACCCCAGGTCTGAAAAAGCTAGGAAAACTTTCTAAGTGGAGGTGCACATGAAAGCAGAATGACTGGAGGACAATAATAAAGGAAGGAAATTTGGGAAATCATCCAATTCTACCACCTATCATGACCACAGGGAAATGACACCACGAAGGGAGGCTTTGTACTAAAGTAACCATTTGCCCTTACTGTGAATTACTATTATAATTTATTAATTCATCCCTAAAAAACTGAAATGATTCAAACAAGAGCTGGTGCACCTAATTAAAAATGTAGCTATACAAGGGCAATTGTTAATTGTTACCTCAGCCCTTCTGTATAACAGATCCAGACTTCTAATGGCATCCTTTTCTTCCTGCAAAAAGTGATAAAATAATGTATAATAAAACAGATCATGATAGCCATAGGATGAAAAAAATTATACCACGTTCTTGCAGAAGTGGACACAGAACTAAATCTAACATTCACTTGTGATAATCTCTTTCAAATTATCATGATTATCCAACACAGAACTAAATCTAATGTTTACTAATGATAATTATCATATGATAATATCCAATACAGAACTATGCAGCTTTAAGTCTTTGCTTCATATGCACTAGAATAGGTATTTAATATAGATAGTTAACAATTGTAGTGGAAAACTGTTGCATGTTGTACCTATGGGTTGTTTACTTATTAGCATTAATTACTTATATATTCCTGATGTAATTTTCTTCTATATATAACAGTTGAAAATAGGACTGATTTTATTATTCTCAAATCATGAAAAATACATTCTCATATCCTCTATTTGTAATAATCTAATTCTCCTAAAAAGGGAAATAGGAAAACTAGGAAAACAAAATAAAATAAAAGATTATATATCTATTTCCTCTAATTAGAAATATTCTAAAGATATTTTCTCTAATTACAACAGTCCCCCTCAACTTGGTAAATGAATATTAATCATTCCCAATTTGCCTACAAGATCTTGAAATCTACCCAGAGGAAGCCCTTTTGTAAAAATATCTGCTATTTGAAGTTCTGTAGGAACATGAGTTGTAATCACAAATCCTCTGTCAAGATTATCTTTGATGAAATGTCTGTCAATTTCAATGTGTTTGGTTTTGTCATGTTATACTGGATTATGGGCTATGCTCATAGCAGACTTATTGTCACAGTGTAGTTGCACCGGGTTCTCCACTTTGACATTAAGATCATCCAAAATGATTTTCATCCAGAGTCCTTCACACATTCCTTGAGCAAGGGCTAGAAATTCACCTTCTGCACTAGAATGGGATACTCTATCTTGCTTTTTGCTTCTCCATGTTACCAGACTATCTCCAAGAAATACACAATACCCAGAAGTAGATTTTCTGTCAATAATAGAACCTGCATAGTCCGCATCAGTATATATCTTCATAGTCAATGTGTCTTCCCTTTTGAATAATAACCCCTTTCCTGGACTTGACTTCAAGTATTGGAGAATTTTGTCAACTGCTTGCATGTGTCTCTCTCTTGGATCATGCATAAATTGGCTCACTACACTCACAACATAAGTAATGTCTGGTCTTGTGTGTGATAGATAAATCAATTTTCCTACCAATCTCTGATATTGGGCCTTCTCTTAGGAGCACTTTCTTCACTTCCAATTCTGTGATTCTGTTCTATAGAAACTGTTGATGTTCTACATCGCAACTTTCCTATTTCGTTGAGGAGATCAAGTACATATTTCCTTTGGGAGATGAAAATTCCGTTCTTGGAGTAGGAAACATATATTCCAAGAAAATATTTGAGTTTTCCTAGGTCTTTCATTTCAAACTAAGCTGCCAATTTATCTTTTAATGCCAATTTTTCGGTTTCATCATCTCCTACAATAATCATATCATCCACATAGACAAGTAATAAAGTGAATTTACCTGTAGAAGAGTGCTTTATGAATAGAGTATGATCTCCTTGTCTTTGTCTGTATCCCAAGGAAACCATTGCTTTTGTAAATCTTCCAAACCATGCTCTAGGGGATTGATTAAGACCATACAATGCTTTCTTCAGGAGGCATACCTTGTTTCTTTCATTTTTCACTTCAAAACCTGGGGGAATCTCCATGTACACTTCCTCATCTAGATTTCCATGAAGAAAGGCATTTTTCACATCTAGCTGGTGTAAGTCCCATCCAAAATGGGTAGCCAAAGAGAGAATAACTCGAACTGTATTCATCTTTTCCACTGGGGCAAATGTCTCCTTATAGTCAATCCCATATGTTTGAGTATATCCTTTTGCCACCAATCTAGCTTTATATCTTTCTATTGTCCCATCTGCCTTATGTTTCACTGTGAATATCCATCTACACCTTACTGGCTTCTTGTCTCTTGGCTTATCAACAATCTCCCAAGTTGAATTTCTTTCTAATGCATTCATCTCTTCTTTCATGGCTTGATTCCAATGTTCAATTTTCATGGCCTCCTAGATTGCGGTAAGAACTTTTGTGGCATCAATAGCAGCAATAAAACTTTTGTGCTTATCAAAGAGATTGTTAGTGCAAACATACTGAGAAATAGGATATTTAGCACATGATCTTCTTCCCTTTCTCAATGCAATGGGTAAATCCTCAGTAATACTTACCTCCTCCTCATTGATATCTTCAGGGATCCTCACCTCCGGATTAGACGATTTTTCTTGCTCGAGAGTCGAAGTGGGTTGTTTTCTTCTTTCATATTTGTTGCCAAAAAATCTGTCTTCTTCCTCTTCTTCCTCACTTTGGACTATGGTAGCTTCATTGCTCAGGTCTTGGGCATCCTGCAAAGACAAACGTGGTAATGACAAGGAGAGTTCATCGACTTCAAGTGCTTTCTCCCCCTGAAGTGGTGGACTAACATAAAAGGATTGTGTTTCATGAAAGGTGACATCCATGGTAATAAAGACGCGACGACTCTAAGGATGATAACATTTGTACCCTTTTTTATTAGAAGGATACCCAATAAAGACACATTTAAGAGCTCTGAGATCTAATTTACCACGGTTAGGATGATGAGACTGACAAAAACAACACATCCAAAGACTCGACTAGGAAGACTCGTTAGTAGGGAAGAAGAAGGAACAAAAGACAATAGAGACTCTATAGGACTACAATAGTGAGTGAGCTCACTTGAACCAGAGAAAGGGAAGTGGACAAGTGAACTAAACTAGCAGCTTGTCGGAGGACTGCAATGCGATCGGAGACGTAACTAACACAATCACAGTAGGTAGAAAAGACAATGAACGAATGATAATGGATTAATGAATCTTTCTTATTGATGGTAATATCTGAATAAACAAAAGTAAACAATAATTGGGAGTATAACCTCCTTCAATTACTTGGGAGCATAACCTCCCTCAGGAAGCATAGTCGTCTGTCAACAAAACTCAATAATAAAAAACATAACCCTAACAATAGCCTCTAGCTTTATTTATACTAATTATTTCCCGCTCAACTCATAGTAAATATTTCCTAGAATATATCTGCATTTAATATTAATATCCCTATATTTAATATAAATATCCCCCCGTATATTTCCCTGACATATATCCTTAATTATAAATATCTTATATTAAATATTTCCCTGGAATATATATATTTATTTACTGTAATTAACTTTTACTAGATATTCTCCTCGAATGTGGCTCTCTTTTACTGTAATTAGTTCCCGCCCATCCTAACCGCTGCGATAGTTAGGATGGTAATTCCTCAACCGTTCGGCTCAGGTCCTTCACTGCTTCCCACCGCTCGGCTCAAGCTCTCACCATCTTCCGCTGTTCGGCTCGACTCCCTACCACCTTTGGGCTTGACCTTTCTCTGCTTCCCCCCGTTCGGCCTGCTCGCTCCCTGCCTTCCATCGTTCATCCTGCTCGCTCCCTATGGTCCCCCGTTCGACCTGATCGCTCTCCGCCTTCCACCGTTCGACCTGGTCTTTCCCCATCTTCCACCGTTTGGTGCCCTTCTCCTTCTCTCCTATACCTTCTTCTCTCATATACCTTGTACCCTAATAGTTAACTTATGAACAATGCCCAAACTTGTAGACTTGTATGGGTGTGCGAGGCAACCTATAAATTTGATAACACTTGAGATTAAAACTGATAAAATATATTCTTGAGGGCTAAACAAATCCCTCTCATTATCTTCTATATATATTGAAAACACAAGAGTACATGGAACATCAAGAGTATGCACTAGAACTCTAAGTACAGAACTAGGTACAACTCATTAATGATCTAGCAAACAAACCTTAATGATGATATATAACAGTAATTATTCTAACACTCCCCCTCAAGCTGGAGCATACAGATTGTATGTACCAAGCTTGGAACAAATAAACTCAATCCGAGGTCCCCTTAATGACTTAGTCAACACATCTGCGAGTTTGTCATTTGATCCAACAAACTCGGTACATATTTCTTTTGACAATAATAACTTTTCCCGAACAAAATGACAATCAATTTCTATATGTTTAGTTCTCTCGTGAAACATTGGATTTGATGCAATGTGAAGAGCAGCTTGGTTATCACAAT